GTGATTAAAATTTTTATTTATTCAATTTTTTGTAAAAATTGAGCTTTGTTGAATTAACATTTTTTTTTAAATTAAATGATATTTAAATAAATTGATTTAAGTCTTAAAGCAAGTGTACCTAAAACATATTTAATTTAAGTAAAAAAAGTATTTAAGTATACGAAGTCAATTGAAACAGCAAAAAAACAAAAAATTTACACATCTGCGGCATTTATACATAAAAAGCATTGTTTTCAAAACAATCTTTATACGAGGGTCGGTCAACATTTATTTCATTGTTTTAATGTATATAATGTATATTAATGCGCCATGCACTTAATTGATTGCACCCACAGGTCTGTGATTGCACCCTATATTTCTTACTGTTTCAATTGACTTCGTATAGACTATACTTAAATACTTTTTTTTAAATGTTAAATAAAAACATTATTGCAGCGATAAATCGATAAATTTTTCATATTAATTTTGATTGTTGAGTTAACCATCCATTTGAAATAAAAGGAAAAATGCAGTGTCCGAATCGAAATAATTTTTGTTATGTATGTGGTTTATTTGCACCTCCACGCCATATGCGAAATATTACAAAAAGTGTAGTAACAGCTTTTGAAGACTATTTTTTCGTGACGTATATACCAAACTTATGGTATGTACCAGAGGTTTTATGCGATTATTGTTACCGTTGTTTGCATGGATTGCAAGATAAAACACAGTATGAAATATGTTGCACACCAACAATTTGGCTTCGACCCGTCGCGACGTACCGAACACGCATCTGACCAGTGTTATTTCTGCATGTCAAAATTAAAAAGTTTTGGATTTCGGTACAATAATAGAGAGAAAATTGATTACGCCGATGTAGAATCCGTCATTCTCGCAAGAGTGCGATCTGAAGATTATCCAACTGCTCCTTCAAAAAACATATGTGAGGATAAAAGTAAAAGACCTTTAACACCCAGTACAACCATTTTTTCCGAGGTGGAATCTGAATTTATTCCCTGTAGTTCGGGTTATAAAGTACATTTTATAACACATGACATGAAAGTACATATGTCACTGAAAATACATTTTCTCCATGCTCATTTGGACTATTTTCCACCAAATTTGGGCGATTTTAGTGACGAACATGGCGAACGTTTTCACCAAGACATTTTAACAATTGAAAAACGCTTCAAGGGAAAAGACGTGAGGCATTTGCTGGGTGAATATTGCTGGTAAATTGTTCGAGATTCTGAAGCAATATACAGCCTGTTCAGAATAAAACCGAATATATCTATATATATATATGGGGCGTGGCCTCGCCTCCCTCCAAGGCGCGTCACAGTTGCTTGTGTGATAAACGACATGACGAAAGGTCGAGCAGGTAAGGACTTAAAAAATTAAATGATAATAATGCAAAAAATCTCATTAGCGATGCAGTCTATTTGCTTAGCTACTGTGTCGCGCGTTGGAGGGAGGCGAGGCCACGCCCCATATATATATATAGATATATTCGGTTTTAGTCAGAACGAGCTGTATAATCGTCAAACTAAACGACCAAGATTTTATTCCAACATGTATTGAATATAAGATAAATACAAAAATGTGTTTCATTAAAAAAAAATAAAAAAAATTATTAAAAAAAAATCAAAATATAAACCTTTTTTATATTTGTTTTTTGTATTGTGTAAAAACATACAATATTTACAAAAAAATATATTTTTAACCGAGTAAAAAATGTACAATCTGTATAAGCATAAATAATAGGAATGACGGCTTAAAATTTTTTTATGACGTGATCTCGTGAAACTGTGAGACACGGGTACGTTTTTTTTACCTCTATTTTCAAAATCTGCTAAAATTTTTCATGGGAGGGAAATCGTGTTGTACTGTGTTACCAGAAATCTGTTATTATTGTTATTCGGATTCCTTATACCTATTTAACGAATGTGCGAAGTATCCGAAAAAAGATGCCATCACTGGTTTTCAAACTGAAATTAGTGGATACAGTGAAGTGGGTTAATACATCAGTAAGTGTTTTAGTAGTACTGAGAATTATATAGTACCAAATTTCTTTATAATTTGATGATTTCAGAATGGTGGTTTTTTTGTTTAGGAAATTGATTTATAAAGCAATATTTCTGATCAAAATTCTTTTAATTTAAGTTCCCAATTTCTATCTAATACTTTCGTTAGTGGGTTTACATAAGGGTTTGTAAAAATAAGGTCCTTTTTGAAAATTACAAGAATTATGGTTGAATTTTTGATATAGCATTTTGTTATTAAATCTACAAAATATTTGTTTTAATTATAAACTACTTACTCAATTAGTTAACAGATTACAGTTGGTTGTAAACTTGACATAAAGATATGTGGACCTGGATAAACATAAAATCTGGTTAATGTTTGTTTAAAATTAACAAATATTTTTTTACTGTGTATTTAATAAATGTTGCAAATAAAAACGCTATAAGGGTATATTTCAAAAAGTTGGCCACTTGCTGTCCTGGGGTTAGAACTTAATATTTTCGTAACTAAAATGAAATGTGAAGAATAGATCTGATAAAACAATCCTTTAAATTCTGTACAAAATCCCCCAATAAGGTATTGAAAATGTATTAAAATTAGCTTGAAATATAGTAAATGTCCAATCCGTGACTGTCTCCATCAAAGATTTATGAACTTTACTGACTGCTGAAAAAATATTGTTTCTGCAGTCATAAGTATAATATTTTTATTTAATTTGTAGAAGTGTATACAGTTATTAACTCATTTTTGTTTAAAAATACAAAACATTTTTGTGACAAGCATTTTAGTTGATGTCCCTTAATTTAAAATGTCCAATCCGTGACGCCATTTTCATACACTATTCATAACTCAACAAGGTAAAATATCTATTGTAGTTTGTAGTACCTGTCAAAGTTAAACAAGGTGAGTAAATTATTTTATGTTTATAGGTGTAAATAAAAAATAATTAATTAATATATAAGTGCGTACACTTATTAGAAGTCTTTTCTGTGACACTTGCTAGAGTGTCAGTTTCTTTCACCAATTTCTTTAGATGTAAACCATTCTGAGTAGTTTATCCTGAAGCTAAAGATTGCGAAACATGTGCTGGGGCCAAACATAAAAATTTTGGTTTTATCACCCAAAAACTATTTTTCGAGAAAATTTTAAACACACAGAATGAAGACGAAATCGTTAAAGGAAATTTTCAAATTAATCTTAAAAAAAGAAGAAGAGACTGATATTTTAAATGTAAAACAGTAGAAAATAATCATCGAAGAAAGAATAAGAACTGTAAATAAAAAAATTAAATTAATATGTGTAGGTAATGCCCTTTATTTTGGCGTCACGGAAAAGACAACATTTATTCTTCCTACAATGAAAATTCGTAAAAAAATACAATCTAGTTCGTATCATGTATGACAAGCATAAAATATTCAATATTTGATAAATATTCTATAGAAATAACATGTAATACACTGAGTGTATTACACTCACAGGCGAAATAATTGATACACACAAATTTTCGATGAATTTCAATCGCAAATAACTTTTTTATTTGATGTCGGATTTAAACGAATATTAAAGAATATTGTAGATAAATTAATGGACAATCGCTCACATTTTAAAAAATTACTAAAAAATAGACGTACGTTTATAATATACAGGTTTAAACAAAAACATGTTTTTTACCATAAGTTTAAGACACTCTGTAGAGTGGCAAAACCGTATATTGTTCTAAATTAAGTGTTATTTATCAAGTTACATCTATTCTTAACAGTTTTGTTTTTGGTTCACCTCGATATATTTATTTTTGTGGAAAATATGGATTTTTTAAAAAAACATTGCAATTTCCAATATTTTTTTGTATGAAGAACTAAGGTATTTGATTGTTTCGACCTTTACTTGATGAAACTCCATATTATTATTATTATGTAGTTATAAAAACAAATATGTTTTGAAAGTTTCACGTGTTTTATTTACTTTTGACAATTGTTTCGTCACACTGTGTGACGAAACAATTGTCAAAAGTAAATAAAACACGTGAAACTTTCAAAACATATTTGTTTTTATAACTACATAATAATAAGAACTAAGGTTGCTATGGTCCATTCATAGGCTATGGAGAATGACAGTGAAAGTTTTGTTGAATCATCCCATACTTGGACATGTCATTCACGGCCTCAAAAGCTATCAAACTGTTTTTTGCAAATTAATGTTTAAATTTTGAGGTATCTTCTTACTTAAAAAAATGGATATGTCTCCGAATGATGTTGCCAGAGCCATTAATTTAATCCAGGATGGACGGTCACAGTATTACGTGGCAAGTGTTTTAAACGTCACAAGAAGTAAAGTACAAAGGGCAACATTAGTCGAAGACATTTTTAAAAGTAAGAAGACACCTCAAAATGAACACATTAATTTACAAAATACAATTTGATACCTTTTGAAAGCTGTATATGACATGTCCAAGTATGGGATGATTCAACAAAACTGTCACTGTCATCCTCCATAGGCTATGGATGGACCATAGCAACCTTAGTTCTTCATACAGGAAAAATATTGTAAATTGCAATGTTTTTTAAAAAAATTCATATTTTCCACAAAAATAAATATATCAAGGTGAACCAAAAACAAAACTGTTAAAAATATATGTGACTTGATAATTAAAACTTAATTTAGAACAATATACAGTTTTGCCACTCCAGAGAGTGTCTTAAACTTATGGTAAAAAACATCTTTTTGTTTAAACCTGTATATTATAAACGTACGTCTATTTTTTAGTAATTTTTAAAATGTGAGCGATTCTCAATTAATGTATCTACAATATTCTTTAATATTTGTTTAAATCCGACATCAAATAAAAAAGTTATTTGCGATTGAAATTCATCGAAAATTTGTGTGGATCGATTATTTTGCCTGTAAGTATATATCTAATTTATTATAATTATAATTTTTTTAATAAAATGTTGGCAAACTTTTTGAAACTGAACTCTCCGATTCTCTTATTCTTACAGATATCGATACGATCCAAACTTACCGGGGCCAGGCGATGGGCGACCTGGATCCGCACATCTTCGCCGTCGCCGAGGAAGCGTACACGAAGCTGGAGCGCGAGCAACGCGACCAGAGCATCATCGTGTCGGGGGAGAGCGGCGCTGGCAAGACGGTCTCTGCCAAGTACGCGATGCGGTACTTTGCCACCGTGGGGGGTAACGCCACGGAGACGCAGGTCGAGAAGAAAGTGCTGGCCAGCAGCCCCATCATGGAAGTAAGCCTAAGACCTAAGACAAGAAACAATTTGTTTGTAGTAATTTTATATGAATATAAAGAGTAACCATAACAAAATAAGTTATATTCGTAACTGTCATTACAAAAATTAAAAATTTATTACTTATTTTCCCAAAAATGTTGATTTTTTTTTTGAAAAACTTAGTATTGAAATAAACCAAAAGGCTAATGACCGAGGCCTTTCTGCCCATATAAATAAACAATAAATTTGGTAAAAAATTATTTGACATAATTATATATATATAAAAAAAAGAAACAATATTTAATGCACTTGAAAATCTAAGATTACTTTCCATAAGGTCTTCTTTGGAAATTTTCTTTTTATTGGATTACCTTCTGAGTTTTAAAATCAATTTGAAAAAATACATTTCTTGTTTTTAATATTATAATTAAAATTCAATTTTTTCGATCTGTAACAATGTCAATTAACAACAAAGTTTTTAAATATACAAGGTGTCCCTAAACTTAGTGGCATAAATTTAGGAGCAGATTAAGCAAGTCAAAATAAGACAAAAATCTAAATAAATATTTTTCCTAATTACGTATGTTTAAAAGATACAGGGTGATAAAGTGTTACTTATCATATCAGTTTTTTTTAATATAACTTCTACTGTGGTAGAGTTGAAAAGGTGATATTTTGCGAACAGTCACTTACTACCAAAACACATTCACACATAATTACAATTGTTCGAGTAAACACAGCGTCGTAGAAACAGGGGTTAGGTTTTTATACCATTTGATGGAATTTTTCGATTACTCAGTTTGGCTACTATTAAAAAGGTGTACCTCTCAAACTTCGATAAAATAAACCGTTACCGAGATATTCGAGATTTCAATAATTGTTATATCGCATAAAAGGACTAGAAGGTATATGATAACAAATTTTTTAATTGAAAAAACTACAATTTTTTAATGTGACGGTAAGGGCAAAAAGTCCTGAAGCTCATAGAATACTCTTTTTAGTTTTTTCAATAAAAAAATAAAATTTGTTATCATATACCTTTTAATCCTTTTAAATAATGCGATATAACAACTATTGTAATCTCGAATATCTCGGAAACGGTTTATTTTATCGGAAGTTTGAGAGATACACCTTTTTAAAGGGAGCCGAACTATGTAATCTAAAAATTGCATCAAATGTTATAAAAACCTAACCTCAAAGTTTGTATAGGATAATAAGCTTAAAGCAACCCCCGTTTCTACGACACTGTGTTCACTCAAACAATTATAATTATGTGTGAATATGTGTTTTGGTAGTAAGTGACTGTTCGCAAAATATCACCTTTCCAAGACTACCATAGTAGAGGTTATATTAAAAAAACTGATATGATAAGTAACACTTTATCAACCTGTATCGTGGAAACATAAGTGATTAGGAAAAACATTTATTTAGATTTTCGTCTTATTTTGACTTGCTTAATCTGCTCTAAATTTATGCCACTAAGTTTAGGGACACCTTGTATACAGTAGAGTGTTTCAAAATAAGACAATATGTGAAATTCTTGTCACTTATGCTGAAAAAAAAAATTCTGTCAAAATTTGAGTTCTTAATATTAATTTTAAAAGGTCCATCATCGAATTTAAAATTTTGCCATTGATTTAACATGAAAAAATAGGTTTTTAAGATTTATTTCGCCTGCATACTATAGTTCTACATAGGTATATGTAGAACTTTTTTTTTTGATAAACAATCACTGGTTCTTTTTAGCACTAAATTATTTACAAAAAATCTTAGAGTCCAGTTTGTAGATTCAACTCTTTCTAACGTTGACTTTTTTACTTTAAATACCAATAACCTTCTTATTTCAAATGAAACTACCATACAATTTTCACGTCATTTGAAACAAAATAATGTTTTCTATTGAAATGCTGCAGCTTTCCCTATACCTAAAATGAATATTTACAGAGATATTGAAAAAATGTAAAAAAACGCATATTTTTTTATTTATAATATCAGTAGTGTGCGTTGGTTTATATTTTATTTATTATTTATGAAGTAATGTTAATGTCAACATCTCTGACAATTGTGTTACAATGGGTGATCACTAATCAACATATTCTAAACATGTTTTATACATATGGCGAGTGCGGAAAAGTTTTAGAAAGAACAATTGGAACTTTTAATGTGTAAATAAGTATAAATAATTGTTAAGTTTAATTAAAATTAATAACGGGCAATTTTAATGGTGACAATTACGTCAAAAATGTTTATTTAAATCGTAGTGCCAGTTATAGATTCCCGTACCGTAAGGACGGCATTCCTTCCTCCCGCAGAAAGTTTTATCTTTCACCGTAAAGGTCTTTGACATGACCAATCACAGTGCTTGTTATGGACATGCGCGTAGGCACAAAATATTTACAAACGCTTGACTCACTTTCTGAGTGGGGTTCAATTGGGATACCTTTTATTAAAAGTTCTTATTGTTTTTTCTAAAACTTTTCCGCACTCGCCATATGTATAAAACATGTTTAGAATATCTTGATGTAGTGTAATTATTATCACCCATTGTAACACAATTGTCAGATAAGTTGACATTGAAATTATTCTATAAATACAAAATTAAAGTTAACACTTCTGATATTACAAATAAAAAAAATAAGCAGTTTTTTCATATCTTTTGTAATATCCCTGGAAGAATTCATTTTAGGTATAGGAAATGCTGCAGCATTTCAATGGAAAACATTATTTTGTGTCGAATGATGTAAAAATTGTATGATAGTTTCTTTAAAATAAGAAAGTTACCTACTGGTATTTAAAGTGACAAAAAAATCAAGGTAAATACCAGACACCCTGTAAAAATTTTCCACCTTTAGTGGCTTTTGATTAATAAATAAAAATAACTTTTTAACATTACAATTAGTGGTAATACAATGGTAATATTAGTAAGACCATCGATCTGACAAAAATTTTGAAAAAAAAAATAAATATCTTAAAATATAATATATTATATTTATATGCTTCCTTTTGAAAACCCAAAGTTGATATCACTTCCGGTTTAACCGGATGTGATAACGCATTAAAAATATTTTTTTTAAATAGTTTACATTGCCTTATATTTGCTATAAAAATTCCAAATTGATATATTTTTCCGTTTTACATAAACTTCTAATGAATAAGTTATTAATCACCCTGTATACTTTTTTTATTTAACTTTTTTGTATAAATTTTTAAGTAAATTATTTTAAAATCAAACTGTTAGGCTCGTTTACATCATTTTTGTAATTGATCAATTTTAAGCCTCTTTATTTACTACATTTTTATCTTTATGGGTTTTATAATTCTTAATATTTCACATAATTTTATTTTTTTTGATTAAGAGAAATTTCTAATAATTTTCCTTTTCAATGTAAAAATTTCCTTATTTGTTTGTAAGAAAAGTATTCGATGACCTAGGACAACCATTAGTTTTAATTATAAACATAAATTTTAGTTGTAATAGTTCAAGTAGTAGTAAAGTAAATAAGATAAATTGATATACCATAAATTTAACTGAAAAGACATCCTACTGACTTATAAGGTAAATTAGTTTGTCAAGTCTTGTAATTAACGGTTATTTTAATTTACAAGTAAATTTTCTTACAATATTTGAAATTATTTTCAAGGCATTTGAATTATTTTTGACGATTTCAAAACTAACTACTTTAATTAAAATTTTCATGATCCTAACTTTTTATAAGACCACAATCCACACAACAAGGTCTGTTCTATCTCGTACTAAAAATACAAAAAATCACTGCAACACTGCCAGTTTAACGGCGGCCATTTTTGTTGTTTACAATTTTTGTGCTTTGGGTTTGTGCTCTGTTTGTACAGATTAAGAATCGTTTTAAACGTTGTGTTTATCATAGTAAGCCTTAAAAGAGTCCTTAAAGTGCTGAGAACAACCGTTTTACTCCTCTATTGTAAAAAATAAACATTATTCTATCAGGGCTGTCATAAAACTGTCAAATGTCAATTTTAAGGTTAAATTATAACCCACAAATTAACCTTCAAATTGTCATTTGACAGCCCTGATAGAATACGGTATATTTATTATAAAAGAGAATTAAAATGGTTGTCCTTAGCACTTAAAGGCCTTATTTGAGGCTTACAAGTGCCTCTGTAAAAAACACAACGTTTAAAACAATTATTAAACAGCACAAACCCAAAGCACAAGAATTGTAAACAACAAAAATGACCGCCGTTAAACTCTGTGCAGTGTTGCAGTGATTTTTAGTATTTTTAGCATGAGATAGAACAGACCTTGTTGTGTGGATTGTGAATAAGACCATGTTTACCTAATGAAGATTTAATAAAAACATTTTTTAATTTGTTTAAACATTTCCAATAACGGTATGAATTGCAAAAATTCCCTTTTTAAAAAAACCTGCTCAGAGAAACAAATGTTTATTTTTGTATTTTAATATTCTTTAAAAAAATATTGAGAAAAGCGCATGGTCATATTTAAAAATATAATTTCTTTGGTGAATATCTATTAATTTTGTCTGTTATTAGGCTATTGGTAACGCTAAAACGACAAGAAACGACAACAGCTCAAGGTTCGGAAAATTCATAGAACTCCAATTCAACAAGCAATTTAACATAAGCGGCGCTTCAATGAGAACGTACCTCCTGGAAAAGTCCAGGGTGGTGTTCCAGGCACCCGACGAAAGAAACTACCACATTTTCTACCAACTGTGCGCCGCAAGGAAAACTCTACCAGACCTCCATCTCGATCACCAAAACACTTTCAACTACTTAAACCAAGGACAAAGTCCAGATGTAAGCGGCGTCGATGATTTGGAGGCTTTTGAGGAAACGGTAAACGCTTTGACAATGCTGGGATTTACTGGAACTGAGCAAAATGATATGTTCAAAATTTTGGCGTCAGTTCTGCATTTGGGTAACATACAATTCGGTGATTGCATCATTAAAACACACAACGAGCAGGATCAGGAAGGATGTGGAATCAAAGTAAATATAAATATGTATATTAAAACACAATCAAACCGAACCTACACCTAGCCAAAGTTTTTTGTTTTGAATGCGTTCCACCAACTTCAAATACCGACAGACAGCTGTTTCGCCCTTTATTGGGTCTTATCAGTGTCGGGCAACTTGGTGTAGTGGAACGCAATCAAAACAAATTACTCCCTGAGCTTATATGCTCGGTTGTTAAGTCAACAGAGGCGAGATGTAAGAACATCAGGTGATACACACCGTCAAACGACGTGGCCTTTGCCGCAATCGGTACATACTATGCAACCGGGACTGCACACAGCAATTGTATCACAGATACTAATATGGCCTAAAGGAATCTAGAATTAACCCAAGGCCATATTAGTATCTGTGATACAATTGCTGTGTGCAGTCACAAGAAAGTTTCTTAAAGAAACTAAGAAAATTGAATGTTCCATTTTAGCCCAAGGATAAACATCTAGGCATTCTAGCAAATTTACTTGAAATAGATGAAGGCGAGATGAAAAAATGGCTGTGCACAAGAAAAATCGTTTCCATGAGAGAGGTTTTTTTAAAACCAATGTCTGTAGGAGACGCAATTATGTCCAGAAATGCTCTAGCAAAGCATATTTATGCTGAACTATTTAACTGGATTGTGCTTGTTATAAACAAAGCGTTGGAGTCCAATATTCCAAGATACAAATTTATAGGTAAAATAATAATAATAATAATAATAATAATAATAATAATAGCTTTGTTTAAACACTTTAAAAACTTTTAAATCAGATATAGTATATGCTTAAAGATAAGATAAGATAACACAGATCGTCAAACTGATCTAAAACTTTCTTCATAGTTGCCCCAAAACTTTCTAAACTTGACTGACTTTTTTAAACTGTCCCAAACTGACAAAACTACCTAAATTGTACCCTAAAGTATTTTAGCATGCTTAAGTTAGAAACGTATTATTAAACTATATTTGAACTCAGGAATGGCCACCGTGCTTTTGTTCCAATTGTGCTACACCGACACACAGGTCTTTTGGACCTCATCAGTGCCTGGTAGCCATGTGGTGTGTAAGCACACCCGAAAAGTCCAAAAGGCCAAAAATAATTTCACTATTATCCCGATTTTCTTCAAAATATAATAATAATAATAAATAATTTCCGACAGTTTTAAGACGTGTATGGGACATTTTAGACAGTCTCTTTTATATTCACTAGGGATGAAAAATAATAATTAATTAAGAATTTTATTTAAGGTGTTTTGGATATCTACGGTTTTGAAACATTCGAGACAAACTCATTCGAGCAGTTTTGTATTAATTACGCAAACGAGAAGTTACAGCAACAATTTAACATGCACGTGTTTAAACTTGAACAGGAAGAGTACATCAAAGAAGGCATTGAATGGAAAATGATCGATTTTTACGACAATCAACCTTGCATCGATCTCATTGAAGCCAAACTTGGTATTCTGGACTTACTTGATGAAGAATGCAGGGTAAGACATCAGCAAAGTCAAAAAATAGAATTTATTTTGTTTATTTTTTTAGATGCCGCGAGGTTCAGACGCATCATGGACAGAAAAACTATATTCAAAATGCATGAAATACTCCCACTTTGCTAAGGGTCGTTTCGGTCAATCGTCCTTCGTTATAAACCACTTTGCTGATAAGGTTCAGTATGAAAGCAATGGTTTCTTGGAGAAGAACCGTGATACGATAATCGAAGAACAAATAAATGTTATAAAATCCAGCAGAAATAATTTGGTTAAACGTTTGTTCGCAAGTGATTCACAAAAATTGGCACCCAGTAATACTAGAGTAAAAATAATACCGTCTAAACAAGCTCCTTCATCGCAAAAAACCCACAAGAAGTCTGTCGGTTCTCAGTTCAGAGATTCCTTAAATTTACTTATGGCGACTTTAAATGCTACTACCCCGCACTATGTAAGATGTATTAAACCAAACGATACAAAAACCGCTTTTGAATACAACCCTAAAAGAGCAGTACAACAGTTGCGAGCTTGCGGTGTTCTAGAAACCATAAGAATATCTTCCGCTGGATTCCCAAGTAGATGGACTTACATCGACTTCTTCTACAGATACAGAGTACTGTGTAAATTCAACGATATTAACAGGACCAACATGCAGAAAACCTGCGACAATATTTTAACTCAATACATTAAAAACCAGGATATGTATCAGTTTGGTAAAACCAAGATATTTTTCCGTGCTGGACAAGTTGCCTACTTGGAAAAACTGAGAGCTGACAAGCTCAAACAATGTTGTGTTATGATGCAGAAGACGGTTAGGGCCTTTATTTGGAGAAAAACATATCTTAGAATTAAGAGATGTACCGTTAATATACAACGATATGGGAGAGGATTGCTCGCAAGAAGGTAAACAAAACAAAGTATTTTAAATATTCATAAGACTGTGCTAAAACCGAATTCTTAAAATATATCCTAAAATGATATTTGAACTGTCTTAAAACTATAGTAGAACTATTCTAAATTGCCCTAAAACTGTCTTTCCAAACTATCCCAAGATGTCTTAAAACCTGTTTTAAAATTGACATATGAGTATGAGAACTTATTGCTGGCCCCATCGGCATCGTCTTACACTGATCTCCCAGAGTTGTTTTTACCAACTTTCAGTTCTCATACGTATCCCGCAACTGCACAGCATTACCTGTGTTTGGTGGATCCGAATTTTCACCCCAGGAGGTCCAGAATTTTGTCGCCAGACCGGGCCATAAGCCCGATTCAGAATAGTGGAATGCGGGACTAGGAGGGAAAACATTTTAATTTTTGGGGGACCAAACTAAGTACAATCCGGAATCCCCCTAAACCAGGAATTTAGTACTAGCCCCATTCAGTTGGGGTTCATGAATGGGGTTTGGGTGGTTAGTTCGCTGCTTGGACATATCCTTGATGGTCTTGAAGCACTCTATGTTTGCGTCCGTGTCTCCTGAAAATTACTGTACTGAAAGTTCAGGCAGTGCAGTCCGCAGTTGTTTGCCCCACTGTGCGAAACCATTTTTTCAGTCTATAGACCCTATAGGGTCGAGAAACATCGATAGATAGTTTTCGGTAGTCGGCAATGTGACTACCGATAGTCTAACTCTTGTCAATATTTTTTTTTGTTTATAACGAATTGTGCGAAAATTATCTGTAAAGGAAAGTTGATAGATACAAATTATTTGTCCCACTGTGCGTAAGCTTTAGCTTTTATGCTAAAATTTCAGTAAAGGCTTATATGGGCATGTTTATTGTTGTTGTCTAGGTGACTGCACTTGACTTATTGTTTATGTTAACGTCTATTCTGCCCTACTGTGGAAAATTAGCATAAACTACATTTTTATAAAAAGCAGTAGGTATTTAATTGATTTTTTTAACTTATGAGATATTTGACTGCATTTCTGTGTTGAATTCGTGTACAAAATGTCCATAGCTTTACCATAGCACAAGAAAACGCATTTTGCATTTTTTTTGCAGTTACTGCCTTTCTCCATAGTAGGGTAGTATTGCGGCTGTTTGTTTATTTTTGGTACTTGTGTATATTTTGTACCGATTTATATTACGAATAATAACGTTTGCTGTCCTGTGGGAATTCTCTTTTTTTGTATGGCGGTTTTGTTTTCCTGGTTTAGATGCGTTGAAGACGCTTAACCTCTTCGAGAAAATGCAAGATTACTTTCTTAGTAGAGAATGCTAGTTAAATCATGCGGATTCAAGCTATTGAACTTTTCTTTTGTTACTACTGTCCACTTTACCCTTTCTTTGGTTTCTTCAGGAGACTGGTACATTGAGTTAGTGTAACTGATTTCTTCACTTGTTGTATTGCACTGCACTACTGTATTAGCCCTTTGCTGATTCTGTAAGACATCGGGACACAAGTACCTTGATTTACCTGCACAGGTAGTGGCCATGGGCTCTAATTTCGCACTGTATACACTTAAAATTGCCTAAAAAACTGTTTAAACTGTCTATTGTTACTTCCTTTCTGTTTAGAAGCGATCGCCTGCGCGTCTGCATTTTATGATGTCTTAAGACGTACTACCTGTTTTAAAATTGACATAATTATCCTTATTAAATTAAATTTGTTTTTAAACCGCCTCATCTGAAGGAAAAATCTATACTAACAAATTTTCATTTTTAAAATAATTACTTGTTTCATATTTTCTAGGCTGGCAACGAAAATACGAAGGGAACGCGCAGCAAAAACGATACAACGTTACGTGCGAGGCTGGGTAAAACGTGTGCAATACCAGCGACTAAAACGCTGCACCACCGGGATCCAGAGTCGCTCCAGAGGCTACTTGGCAAGAATACGTTTCATGAAATTGAAATACAACGCCAAGGCGATTATCATACAGAAAAACGTGCGAGGATGGCTGGCTAGACGCGAAATGCAGAAACGAAATAAGAGAATCGTTATCTGTCAAGCAGCTGTTAGACGATTTCTGGCTAGAAGGCAGTATAAGAAGATGCGCATCGAAGCGAGATCTATTGAGCATGTTAAAAAGCTCAACAAAGGTTTGGAAAACAAAATTATCAGTCTGCAACAGAAAATACAGGATCTTAATAAGAGTAACAACGAGATGAAGTCGTACCAAAACGAAGTTAAAGAGTTGAAGAATAGGATGATCACATTTAAGGCGTTGGAAATTGAGATTAAGAACCTCAACAATCTTCTGATGGATAAAAATAAGAAGATGGATAAAATGTCGGAAGAACTACAAGCAGAAAAGGACGACAAAATGGATATTATCAACGAACATGATAAATTTAAAGATGAAATGTTAAAACAACAAGAATTGTATGCTCAAGAAACGCTAAAACTACGCAAAGAATTGGATAATATTAACGAGATAGTAAAGGTGAACCAAAAGGGAGCCGAAGAGAATCTTAAAACGCGTCTCGAGGAAGAAAAGAACCTTATCATGAATAAGGAAGACAGCGACATACAAGCCTACCAAAAACTTCTGCAAGAGTATCATTGCCTTGAGCAACATTGCGAAGATTTAGAGAAACAAATACAGCAAAATCAAAATCACCATACTCACAAGAGAAACATAAGCGATATAAGCAGCATATCCACTGTCGATGAGCACTTCTTGAACTCGGATCTCCCTGAAGATCATGGGTATGGTTCTGTGAGATCTACGTCTAGTCACAACAGGGAGAGAGTGGATAACATCGACTGGAAGACAGACAGTGAGTTTTGCCAACGTGTTAATTTTATATATCAATGCGAATTTTCAGATACCAGTGAATCTCAAACACCTAGTAGCACTAGCGATACGAAGCAAGAAACATCGGAACCTCAAGATCCAGACACTAAAGTCGACCTCGGTCTCGTGCTGAAGCTTCAACACAAACTTTCAGCTATGGAGCGCGAGAAGCTGCGCATGCAAAAACGCCTAGACGAGCTCGACATGTCGCCGAGAGTGGAGCGAGCCGAGACGGCAGCTAATGACGCCGTTAGGATTTCGGAGTTGGAGCTTTGCAATTCCAACCTCAAAGCGCAGCTGATGGAGCTGAGAAGCAGTATTAGCGACGGTTCCGAGAAGATCAAGCTTCAAGAACAGCACCAACTATTGCAGACCGAGTTGGATAGGAGGATTGAAGAGGTGATTCAATTGAAGAGCGTTTTGGCCAACCAGACAAATAATATGAAGTCTATTGTTAATTCCAACTCGAGAATGGGTAAGTCAAATGATCAAAGTCAAAAAGTAGTTCTACATTACTTGGTAATAAACTTGTAGTCTTATTAGGAGAACTAAATAAAGATGTTGTTTATCTTCAAGATAATGTAGAAATGCAATATATATTTTTAAATTTATTGAGGATTATACTAAATAATAAATCATTTTATAGGAACTCCTAAGAAAAAAGCAGGCAAGTTTGCAAGATGCATGCAAATATGTGTTGTTTTTGTTGTTTTGTTTATTGCATGACACAATTCTATTGAATGTCCTTTAAGGGATTCACTAAAACCCTAACAAAACACTTATTGTATCTATATTTTAGGCGAATACATAAACGAGGATGGAGAACTCACATTGGCTTACGAAACCCAGAAAACCATTAACAAGCAACTGGAGTTGGAACTTCAGGATGAGAAAGCAAAGTACAAAGCCCACGAAAAAGAATACAAATACGAAATCGAAAAGCTTAGGGAAGACAACGAGAGACAGCAACGAATTTTGTCGGCAAATCTGACAACAACGTCTCAATCTCAAAGCGAAAATTTCATGCAACACGAAATCACAAGACTGGCCGCAGAAAATCTCGATCTGCACGATAAAAACGAGAATTTAACTGTAAGCGTGCAGAAGTTGAAGAAATACGTTAAAATATTAACGAAGAAAATCAAGGAGGCGGGCTTAGATTTAGAGGATACTGTTAATTTGGAGGATAATAACAATAAAATTGCTGCCAAGCACAGTAGGGCTATACCTTCCATAAGAAAGAAGGATCGGGAGTATTTGGGGATGTTTTCTTATCCAGAAGGACAGGAGAATGGTATTATGAAGCATCTGGTCTTAGGTAAGATTGAAAATAATAATATTATTTCTTCTTTAAGTTCGTTAGGTCTATTAGTGACATTGTTAAAGAAAAAAGATCATTAATATTAAATATTTTTATTTTAGAACTTAAGCCAAGAACAGCAGTGGCTTTACTGCCAGGCCTACCAGCCTATATAATATTTATGTGCATAAGACACACAGACTACACAAACGACGACCAAAAAGTCAAACTGCTTCTCTCGGCATTCACCAACTCGGTAAAGAAAGTTATAAGAAAGAACCACGAGAACTTTGAATCGAACGCTTTGTGGTTATCGAATACTTTGCGTTTGGTGCACAACATGAAACAATACAGCGGTGATAAGGCGTTTCAGGGCAAAAACACGGCAAAACAAAACGAACAATGTCTGAGAAACTTCGATTTGTCTGAGTATAGGCAGGTATTGTCGGATATAGCTGTATGGATCTACCAGGGACTCATCAAGAGTTTCGAGGAGAAAATACAGCCACTTATCGTGCCAGCGATTTTGGAACATGAGGAAATTGCTGGTTTAAGTGGTAGCAAGCCCAGTGGGTTTAGAGGTAGACAGAGTAGTGTTTCGAGGGAATTGGAAAGCCCTGTTAATAACCAAAAACCTACAACTGCTCTATTGCAGGAACTTACAAACCATCATAAGGTAGATATTGTGACTTAATTAATATAAACGGGTATGTATCATTTTTTTGTAGATTTTGACATTCTACGGGGTGGATCCAGAGGTAATCTCGCAAGTTTTCAAGCAAATATTCTACTTCCTTTGCTCATCAAGCCTAAACAACCTTCTATTGCGTAAAGAGCTCTGCAATTGGTCCAAAGGTTTACAAATTCGACACAACTTATCTCACTTTGAGATGTGGACAAGAGAAAAATCAATGGATGTGAGTAAAGAAAAAAAAAAGAAAAATATCAAATTAATTTTTTTCAATTTAAGGAAACCTCCATTGAAGTTACCCTTCAGCCAATAATTCAGGCAGCTCAATTACTACAAGCTAGAAAATCCGAAGAAGATGTCGGAAGCGTCTCTGAAATGTGTAGCGCTTTGACACCACTGCAAATTTGCAAAATATTGAATTTGTACACACCAGTTGATGAATTCGAACAGAGGGTGCCGGTTTCCTTCATCAGGAAAGTGCAGGCTAAGCTGCAGGAGAGACCTCAAAGCCAAGAACAACAGGTAAAACACTAACTTCGTTTTGGTTTATTTTTAAAAAAAGGTTTATTCTTGTTTTGTGTGCGATTTTTAGATGAGTCTAATAAATATGCTTCCTGGATTCACTATAGCTAGGTCAAATAGTATCCCTGGTACTAGAATTTTTCCAGGATCCCCAACTCTTATACATGGGGCCAATGTGAGTCAAAATTGTGAACGGCTGACGGCACTGAATGTTTTAAAATGGCGAAAAGAAAAACATTTTTTTTGTTAACTATGGTCCTTAAAATTAAAAGTCTACCACATTACGGAATTACATTTAAATCAGACAATACGTTTCCGAAGGATTTGGAAAATTCTAGGCCAAAAGTTAAAATAACAGGTTTTGTTATACCAGAAAATATTTGAACTATCTATATGAAAAAACTTGTATGTGAAAATTAAAGAGAAAGCAGTTTACTTTCTCAAAATATAGATCGACTACTAAGTCGATCTATATTTTGAGAAAGCAAACTGCTTTCTCTTTAATTTTCACATACAAGTTTTTTCATACGTTTCTTCAATAATTTTTGAGAACGCTACAGTGTTTTGAAAACCACAAGACTCAAAAGGCTTCGATGAAAATATAAATTGCAATTTTTGGTGAGTGTCAAGTTTTGCCGAGGGTAAAACTGAAAAAACCACTCGTTTTTTGAAATCTGATTAAACCTTAAATATTAAAGAAAACCTTTTTGGGTAAAAATTTCTCGAAAAATTGATGTAATGAAGCAATTCTGAGATTGAATTTAGTTTCCGCACGTCAAATCCTTCGGAAAATATATATATATATATATGTATATATAAAAAATGTCTTATTAAAACAAAAAATGCTGTCGACCATATTATTGATATCATCGGAAAAAAGTTGACATCTTTTTGCAAATCAAAATTATAAAATATTTTAAAAACGAAAATTAACAGATTTTTTTAACAAATTGAATTAATTTTTTTAAGATCAAAATCTTTTGGTTTAAAACATCAAAAGTGCGTCTTTTATGTGGCTACAGGAAATATATTAAATTATTCTTGGTGCTAATTAGGGAATATTATTTGTTATTTTTTAATTAAACTACTAAAGTTTCGTAGATTTTATAAATAATTAATTGTATTTCTTTTTTCAGACGCTTCTTATGGACGTTAAATTTAGATTCCCCGTTAGGTTCTACTTCAATCCATCGGTCATTTGTCTGGAAGACATAGAAGTCCCCGATACGCTAAAACTGCCTATGCTAGAAAAAATATAAACACCCTTAACTTATTAGTGATAAAAAATCGTTTAAAACGCTTTACCAGACCAGAGTATATTTATATTATAGATTGTTTAATTATTTATTAGGTATTTATTACCTACATAAGTCTATGTATACCTTCTACAATTACATTGTTGTGTTTCTGTTACCTCTATTAAAAAGATAAAAACTATATTGCCCTTAGAAAATGTATAAACGTACTCTATTTAGATTTTTAATAAAGATATTTAAGAGCTAGTCACTGTTAAATATATTTTTATCTATAAAATTACTGAAATCAAATTATTAGGCCTTACTTTTTTTCTTGTATAGAGAAATTCTACCAGAAAGTAATACAAACTATTTACCAGATAATAATGATAATAATAATAAAAATCGCACAATCCTATTAGTGCTTGACTACAATTTACAAAATTATTTCTATTGCCTTAATATTAACGTTGTCGAAAACAAAAAAACAAGTATTTGATGGAAAAGTTATTTTTAACACATACTTACGACTCTACTTTCTATAGAAAGTGGTTTCTGTCAGAATTGATTAACCAATCAGAGTATGGTATTCTCTACGGCACACTAGATTGCAAAGAAAATGCAGTGGTCTGATTAGTTTATTGGTTTCTATATAAAACATTGCCCTTAAATTACAATTATACTGTTTTGGAGATGTTTAGTTAGTATTGGTTACAATGTGTCCTATTGTCAAGACAGCAAAGTATATGTTAAAAAAAATAACTCTCTCATTATAATCGTGATTTAGTATTCGTGCCTCCAAAATCACTTTTAACATCAAGAATATTAATTTATTTGTGCCATATTGTACTTAATTTAATTGATTCTTGATCTTAATTATATAATTATAAAATAAAACTTTTAACCATGTAGCTGTGAGTTAGAGTAGTTAGTATAGCAATAGCTTATTTCTATATTTTATATCAAAATATTTGTTAAGTAGTAGAATTTTACATTCCAATATCTAAAAGGTTCCTTTAACTTAAATTATTAGGATTACATATCCTTTAGTACAAATTGTACTGTACAATATTTTAAAAATAAATATTTATTTGTAAATACACACAAAGTTACCTATTATTGAAATTATACATTGTTTGTTGGTTAATTTTTAAACGAATACGTTTTTAGCGCATTTGTAATTTTAGTGTTGATAATTTTTTCTTGTGTTACCTTTACATATAGATTTATTATAATGAATTGTTGGCGTTTTAAGAAAATTATATATGTATGTATTGTTGTTCGATAAATAATTTATTGTCAGTTAAAAATATATCCATGTAAATATATAGCGTATTATAGAGTGTAAATAAAATAAATAATTTCAAAAATTTGTTTCCTTAATAAATATATATATGTAGTATGTACATATAAATATACATATGTAGTATGTAGCGTGCAAATGAGAATAGACCGTGTTTACTTACATAAAGAGCTGCAGATTCAGGGAGAATACAAAAATGTTGATGTAATATGTAATGGGTAATAATATTACCGTAATATATAAAAAAATGCTGATAATATGGATCATTATAATATATACAGAACTTAAAGTTTTAAATTTTAGATATTAGGAAAAAACAGGGGTCGACCCCTGTTTTTTTGATCCATATTATCAGCATTTTTTTTTTTTAATAAAAATTGTAAAATTTATATTTTTTTGTTTACGATAAATCGTTATCAAAAAATTAGCTAAAGCTTAAGGTTAAACTAATTAGTTTTTAGGCGTATTCATTAGGGTGTCCCTTATTTTTATTTTTTTTACGCATACCCTCTAATTATATTTATTCCTTGTTTATATACTCCCAGTAAAAATTTCAGCTCATTCTATAAACGGGAACCCGTGCCGACTTGCATCTAAACCCCCGTTAGCCAACGTTAGGCGCGCGCGGTATTTTGTAACACGAAACACTTTAAAAAGAAGATATACTTCATGACTGTATTTTTCTAATGATTTTATTAAATATGATTACTAATTAATATTATTTCTTTTATTTCTATCATTTTTTTCACTAATTTAGTTGATTTTATCCCTTAAATATATTAATATACTAATTAGTATTGCTAAAATATACTGTTATATGAAATTTCAGCTTTTTATAAGCATTTATTTTCTTGATGTCCTCCCAAAAATATTTCAGACAGTTCAATAAGTTTTCGGTAGTCATCTCTCACAATAGACTCTTTTAGTTATTTAGAGTAAACCCCATTAAGTTTATCAATTTCAGAGTTTACGGCCTATTCACTAGACCCTTCCGGGTAACTATAGCCACTCCCTGTGAAAATATACATTTTTATCAAAGTATACACATAAATAAAACTACATTTTAACATTTGTCAATAATTTATAATATAAGGGTCACATAATAACAAACACAAAATGACTTACGATCGAAGACCTCGCGACCAACCGTGTTACAAAATACCGCGCGCCTAACGTTGGCTAACGGAGGGTTCAGATGCAAGTCGGCACGGGTTCCCGTTTATAGAATGAGCTGAAATTTTTACTGGGAGTATATAAACACGTAATAAATATAATTAGAGGGTATGCGTAAAAAAAATAAAAATAAGGGACACCCTAGGATTCATGCTCACTTAAAATAAGAATAAGAAATAAGAAATAAGAAATAAGAAATAAGAAATAAGAAATAAGAAATAAGAAATAAGAAATAAGAAATAAGAAATAAGAAATAAGAAATAAGAAATAAGAAATAAGAAATAAGAAATAAGAAATAAGAAATAAGAAATAAGAAATAAGAAATAAGAAATAAGAAATAAGAAATAAGAAATAAGAAATAAGAAATAAGAAATAAAAAATAAGAAATAAGAAATAAGAAATAAGAAATAAGAAATAAGAAATAAGAAATAAGAAATAAGAAATAAGAAATAAGAAATAAGAAATAAGAAATAAGAAATAAGAAATAAGAAATAAGAAATAAGAAATAAGAAATAAGAAATAAGAAATAAGAAATAAGAAATAAGAAATAAGAAATAAGAAATAAGAAATAAGAAATAAGAAATAAGAAATAAGAAATAAGAAATAAGAAATAAGAAATAAGAAATAAGAAATAAGAAATAAGAAATAAGAAATAAGAAATAAGAAATAAGAAATAAGAAATAAGAAATAAGAAATAAGATCGCGATTGATCGTTCATGCTGATAACATAAGAAATTAAAAATGTTGTCACACAATTGTATTTTATTATAGTGGATTATATTGGCTATAAACGTAAACAATCGACAGCGACACTCAACGCGATTTCCAACACCATGGCTCCATGGCCAGCACATAAAACCCATCAAAATAATTCACTGACCCAATTGTTAATCTTTATTCTTATTTCTTATGTTCATGAGCATGAACGCAACCATTACTTTATACACTTTTAACTTTTTATCTTATTTCTTATTTCTTATTCTTATTTCTTATTTCTTAGTGAGCATGGCTAGCTAGGTCAAATAGTATCCCTGGTACTAGAATTTTTCCAGGATCCCCAACTCTTATACATGGGGCCAATGTGAGTCAAAATTGTGAACGGCTGACGGCACTGAATGTTTTAAAATGGCGAAAAGAAAAACATTTTTTTTGTTAACTATGGTCCTTAAAATTAAAAGTCTACCACATTACGGAATTACATTTAAATCAGACAATACGTTTCCGAAGGATTTGGAAAATTCTAGGCCAAAAGTTAAAATAACAGGTTTTGTTATACCAGAAAATATTTGAACTATCTATATGAAAAAACTTGTATGTGAAAATTAAAGAGAAAGCAGTTTACTTTCTCAAAATATAGATCGACTACTAAGTCGATCTATATTTTGAGAAAGCAAACTGCTTTCTCTTTAATTTTCACATACAAGTTTTTTCATACGTTTCTTCAATAATTTTTGAGAACGCTACAGTGTTTTGAAAACCACAAGACTCAAAAGGCTTCGATGAAAATATAAATTGCAATTTTTGGTGAGTGTCAAGTTTTGCCGAGGGTAAAACTGAAAAAACCACTCGTTTTTTGAAATCTGATTAAACCTTAAATATTAAAGAAAACCTTTTTGGGTAAAAATTTCTCGAAAAATTGATGTAATGAAGCAATTCTGAGATTGAATTTAGTTTCCGCACGTCAAATCCTTCGGAAAATATATATATATATATATGTATATATAAAAAATGTCTTATTAAAACAAAAAATGCTGTCGACCATATTATTGATATCATCGGAAAAAAGTTGACATCTTTTTGCAAATCAAAATTATAAAATATTTTAAAAACGAAAATTAACAGATTTTTTTAACAAATTGAATTAATTTTTTTAAGATCAAAATCTTTTGGTTTAAAACATCAAAAGTGCGTCTTTTATGTGGCTACAGGAAATATATTAAATTATTCTTGGTGCTAATTAGGGAATATTATTTGTTATTTTTTAATTAAACTACTAAAGTTTCGTAGATTTTATAAATAATTAATTGTATTTCTTTTTTCAGACGCTTCTTATGGACGTTAAATTTAGATTCCCCGTTAGGTTCTACTTCAATCCATCGGTCATTTGTCTGGAAGACATAGAAGTCCCCGATACGCTAAAACTGCCTATGCTAGAAAAAATATAAACACCCTTAACTTATTAGTGATAAAAAATCGTTTAAAACGCTTTACCAGACCAGAGTATATTTATATTATAGATTGTTTAATTATTTATTAGGTATTTATTACCTACATAAGTCTATGTATACCTTCTACAATTACATTGTTGTGTTTCTGTTACCTCTTTTAAAAAGATAAAAACTATATTGCCCTTAGAAAATGTATAAACGTACTCTATTTAGATTTTTAATAAAGATATTTAAGAGCTAGTCACTGTTAAATATATTTTTATCTATAAAATTACTGAAATCAAATTATTAGGCCTTACTTTTTTTCTTGTATAGAGAAATTCTACCAGAAAGTAATACAAACTATTTACCAGATAATAATGATAATAATAATAAAAATCGCACAATCCTATTAGTGCTTGACTACAATTTACAAAATTATTTCTATTGCCTTAATATTAACGTTGTCGAAAACAAAAAAACAAGTATTTGATGGAAAAGTTATTTTTAACACATACTTACGACTCTACTTTCTATAGAAAGTGGTTTCTGTCAGAATTGATTAACCAATCAGAGTATGGTATTCTCTACGGCACACTAGATTGCAAAGAAAATGCAGTGGTCTGATTAGTTTATTGGTTTCTATATAAAACATTGCCCTTAAATTACAATTATACTGTTTTGGAGATGTTTAGTTAGTATTGGTTACAATGTGTCCTATTGTCAAGACAGCAAAGTATATGTTAAAAAAAATAACT